CTTGTCCTCTTTCAAAGGCTCCTCATTCTGTCCGAGTCAATGTCAGGACACTTTTTTAGAGCCAGGGTTAGTTAGTGGAAGAGTCTCAACTGGTAAAGAATAAAAAAAGAAAATTAAACGATGCAATTTATACATATATATATATATATATATATATATATATATATATATATATATATATATATATATATATATATACATATATATATATATATATACTGTATATATATGTGTGTGTGTGTGTGCGTGTGTGTGTGTGTGTGTATTATTAGGAACACCATACTAAAACTGTGTTTGACCCCCTTTCGCCTACGTGTCATTGATTCAACAAGGTGCTGAAAGCGTTCTTTAGAAATGTTGGCCCATATTGATAGGATAGCATCTTGCAGTTGATGGAGATTTGTGGGATGCACATCCCGTTCCACCACACCCCAAAGATGCTCTATTGGGTTGAGATCTGGTCATTTTAGTACAGTGAACTCATTGTCATGTTCAATAAACCAATTTGAAATGATTGGAGCTTTGTGACATGGTGCATTATCCTGCTGGAAGTAGCCATCAGAGGATGGGGACATGGTGGCCATAAAGGGATGGACATGGTCAGAAACAATGCTCAGGTAGGCCGTGGCATTTAAACAATGCCCAATTGGCAAGAAGGGGCCTAAAGTGTGCCAAGAAAACATCCCCCACACCATTACACCACCACCACCAGCCTGCACAGTGGTAACAAGGCAAGATGGATCCATGTTCTCATTCTGTTTACGCCAAATTCTGACTCTACCATCTGATCGTCTCAACAGAAATCGAGACTCATCAGACCAGGCAACATTTTCCAGTCTTTTTGGCAAGCTCTTGCAAATTGTCGCTTATTTTTCCTATTTGTAGTGGAGATGAGTGGTACCCGGTGGGGTCTTCTGCTGTTGTAGCCCATCCGCCTCAAGGTTGTGTGTGTTGTGGCTTCACAAATGCTTTGCTGCATACCTCGGTTGTAACGAGTGGTTATTTCAGTCAAAGTTGCTCTTCTATCAGCTTGAATCAGTCGGCCCATTCTCCTCTGAACTCTAGCATCAACAAGGCATTTTTGCCCACAGGACTGCCGCATACTGGATGTTTTTCCCTTTTCACACCATTCTTTGTAAACCCTAGAAATGGTTGTGTGTGAAAATCCCAGTAACTGAGCAGATTGTGAAATACTGTCTGGCACCAACAATCATGCCACAGGCATTGTTTCTCCTTTGGAAAGTATAATTGATTAAAACACATGACAACCAATACATTATGTAAAATCTGCAAACATCATAACATACATTATGAATCCCTATAATGCATCATACATAAGGGCTTTGCGTAAAGTGTTACCAATCATCCTTTTTGAATTTGAATGTCTGTCCACAAATTAATGACATATACAGTATATATAGTCAAAATTTCAATTCAGAGAGGATCCATGCATGACTTGAAAAAAAAAATGTAGTTGAATGCAACATACTGTAGGAATCACTTTAATAAATACATATGCATAAATACAAACTGAAAAAGCCCATGCAGCAAAAAAAGTTCAATGATGGTGTGTCTGTAGGCGGAAAGAGGACAGTGTCAAATGGATAGAAATGGAAAATAACATGATTAAGATGTTTTGATTTTTTTCATGCTCACTTCCCGCAAAGTTTTTTTTCTGGAGTTGAGTTTTGTTCCATCAAGACCTTGTATCCGGTGTGATGTTGTACGACACACAAAATTACTCATCCTTTAAAGCAAGAAAAATGCCTTCATGCATCAATAGACTTGCGCTAGTAAACAAACTACTTCATGTTCTTCAAGATGGATTGATTTTTATTTTTCCCCCAACAAAAAAAATTCACACTTATAAACATTCAAAAGTGAGAAGCAAAGGCACGTATTAAAAAGAAGATGGGCCTAATGGAGAAAGGTTTCAAAAACAGCTTTTCACAGAACAAATGGCAGAGTCTATAGCATGCGTTTTAAGAAATGCGAATTCGTCTGTTTAGTTGCCTTCTCAGGTCATCTTCTCTTTCACACGCAGCATCTATGTAATGTAATTGCATAAGTGCTATAAAAGAGACGTAGTGACAGACGAAAGCAAAGAAAACTCTTTATACCAGGGCTGAGGAACAAGGAGAGGATTTCAGTAAATGGCATGAAGAGGAAAAATACAAATGAAAATCATTAAAAGTGAAGTCAGCACTACTAGAGTCACAAAAGAGAATTGCAAAATAACTCATTATTTTCAAACAGGTTTCCTCATCTGTCCTCAACAGTCAGAAAAAACAAATACTTGCTGTAACAAAAAGTTTATTCTACATATTACTTTCTACTTTAAAATGTCATGTTTTAAAATTCAATGTGTTACTTACGGAGCCTCTAAAGGTAAAGGTGGTGCTGGTGGTGTGTGTGTGTGTGTGTGTGGGGGGGGGGGGGGGGGGGGGGGGAATTCAATACTTTTACGTTGTCTTGCAAATGTTTTGCATTCTCCTGAGAAACTTTTATTTTTTTTGCTACATTGTAAAAAATATTGTTGGTTTAACTTAAAAAGGTAAGTTCATTGAAATGGAAAAAGTGAGTTAATACAATGAAGGAGAATGATTTAATCATCAGAAACTCAAAATTATATGTTATCTGAACTAAATAAATTATTTAAGTTGATTTGACAAAAGAAACAAATGTTTTGATTACTAATCATGAATAGATTTTTTTACTATTTCTGGCAGCTAAACCATTTTAACTTATCAATAATTGAATAGATAATTGGGATAACCACAATGTAACACCCTGAGAGGATTTAGTAAATGATTACTGTAGATTGCTGAATTAATGTCCAAGAAATATTGCCGTTTCTCACACCAAGCCTGTTTAAATATTAATGCAATAACTAGCATGAATACATAAACATGTTTGATAGGTGAAAACATAACTGTTTTTCAGCTAGTAATGGGATGATTTTCAAAGATTTAAAGACAACATGTAGACATTATATTTTTATTTTTAATACACATTAATCACAAACAGCTCACATAAGAGAATCAGAATCAAAAATAAACAAACAAATAAAAATGAAAAAAATATGATGATAAATTTTAATAACAAAAAAGACATAATAAATAAATACCCGAAAATACATTCAAATAGATATATAGACTGACAGACAAACAGACAGATGATAGAGATAGACATATATATATATATATATATATAGATAGATAGATAGATAGATAGATAGATAGATAGATAGATAGATAGATAGATAGATAGATAGATAGATAGATAGATAGATAGATAGATAGATTGTTAAATTATATTGTTAAATTAAATTACTTCATGCAACAACTACATGTGTTACAGAAAGTGATCTGCATGATGGCTTTTTTTGTTGCAGTAGCTTTAGCACAGTAATGTTGTTTTGGATAAAAATCTGGTTCAGCATCTGTACTCTTTTGCTCAGGTGTCCTTGCAGAAGTGTTTTAGGCCCTGCATCCCACAGTCACACAGGATCAGCAGACAGAGAGAGCGGAAGTGAACACATCCATGACCTGCTGTACTGAAGCACAACAAAAGAAAAGAAGAAACAGCTGGGGTTTTACCTCTGTGCCCTGGTATATAAGATCACAAACATGGCCTTCTGCCAATGGCTACCCATATGTCACACACTCCCTCCACATACACCAGGCTTTACTTTGATTAAAATATAAATCATAATTTATGTACTGCCCAGGACCGCCATTTCATCAAATGCTGAAAAATACAGAGAGAAGAGGGAAAACATGAGGGAATGATGAGTAAAGAAAACCCCTGGAAATCTTCAGGCCCTTAATATGACTCATGTCAGGGTTCAAGGACCTCTCACACGCCGCTTTGACCTCAGCATCGCATTGCTGACAGCTTCACTGAAGGACTATTACAGAGGTTGCTTGGAAGCAATAAAGTAGAAGCAGGCCTACACAGGGAAAATAATAGTGACTCACGAGGCAAATAACATGCATTTGTGATTAGAATAGCCTAGAGAAAGTCCTGGCGCCTGCTTAATGCATCAGTTTATGATTTTTGCACCCCACTGCTCATGTAGCAGGTCGATTTAGTCATTTGAGTTTAATTTCATATATTTTGTCTGATGTGCAAAGAGAAATGCTGTTTGAACTGTTAACTTCGGCAAACCTTGTTCAAATGTATTATTTTCAATAGTTCCGATCTGGAGTTCCTACCGATTGTTTTAGTGGGGACCTTAATTAGTGAGACACAGAATCCTTTAAGCGTTCGCGCGCAGATGCATAGCGCGTGTGCTCGGAGAAACTGAGGTAGTTTTTCTCTCTCATATTTATCTTTCATTTACTACTTTCTTGTAATGTAATCACTATATTTATGATGTCAAAATGTTGATAAGAGTTTATATCATATTGTGTATCAGTGTGATAAGCTGATTTCCGCTTTGAAGTGGCTTTTCTACCGTGTTAAAATGAGCTTAATTTTCTTCACGTGCATCTTTCTATGCAGGAGTAAGAGAGTAGGCCTTCCGGTGTACTAATCACTGACTCACTAACGTTACTCTGTTAAAGGTATGTTGTTTCAATTTGTGATTATTAATCTGACTGTTTATTATGTGATTTGTGAATTTAATTTAATAATTGTGTATCTTAGTGTGTTAAAGGCTGTCGTCATACTAAGTGTAACGTTATTTCCATTCAATGAGACGGTGGTCGAGGGAAAACTTTTTTATACTCAAAGTAGTTCATCAATCAAATCTTATGCATTTAAGAGTTTACAGTACATTTATAAGTACATTTCTGGGAATATACAGCATATTAGCATGTTATTTTATTTCAAATGTGCCATTTATGTTTTCTGTGTGTACAATCTTATGTGGGGTAAATTAGCATCTACATTGAAAATGTGAGTTATATCGCTTTTCCTTTAAGCGTTCGCGCACAGATGCATAGCGCGTGCGCTCGGAGAAGCAGAGGAGTATGAGAGTAGGCCTTCCGATGTCTGTGTACTAATTACTGACTCACTACTCTGTTAAAGGTGAAAAAATTGCACGTGTCCATCCCATTCATCGTGTGGTCGTGTTTCTGTAGTGTCCGGAGGTTACCATTTGAAGTCTGCTAAAATCACATACACATGTTCAGTGTCATGAATATAGGCTATGTCAAAAGTATGTCAAAGTTGAAACTTTATAACACTTATGATAAAATTATGATTTTATACATTCTTTTCTTATTCAAACAAAATCCTGTCATCCAGCCATCTCCTCCCATCCTCTTTCATCCTCACCCTTATATATATCAAGCATTCAACAGCCCCATAGGCCATGTAGGGCTGTTAAATGCTGCTTGAATCTTGATCAGTTGACTTGACCAACGTTCTAAGGTGTTTAATTATTTTCAGGGAAACGCACGGCTAAAGTAGTTCTAGGCAGGTTTTGACCGCATTACAGCTCCATATCACTTCGCCAAATGATTTCAGTTATTTCAAAGGTCCTTACACTCTAAAAATGCTGGGTTGTTTTAGCCCATTTTTGGGTAAAATATGGACAAACCCAGCCATTGGGTAAAAAATGATTTAAAAATGTAAAATGATTTAAAAATGTAACCCAATGGCTAGGTTTGTCCATATTTTACCCAAAATTGGGTAAAAAAAGCAGCATTTTTTGGAGTGTACTAGAAAAGCAAAATAACCAAAATCCACAACACCACTGACCAAACAAATAAATATAGTAAACAATAGGATAAAAAAAAAGCCAAACAATTACATTTTAGTATACGGAAAGCTTACAGTTTTGCTATTCGTAGAGACTGCTGCCGAACACTGTTGAGAGATGCTCAGACTCGGGTAATTCACACATGCATAAACTCTCTCTTTCACATTAATAACTGTATTAGACTGCTATCAGTGGCTTAAGCTTCTGTTACTAGCTCAAAAAATATGTTTTGGAATTAATTAGCACCGGAGGCTTGAGATTAGATGCGTTTGAAATTAGTCCTACACACAAGAGCGTTTTAAGGACAGAAACCTAGTGTCTTGAAATACAACATATGAACAATGTCTTGAGGTGTGGTAACAAGCAGAACAATTGATTCTGATCCGATGAATTAATAATCTTATATATAATTCTCACCCGAGGTTCATTTCGCGGTGTGTCCGCATTAACACCTGGGGTGTGCATTATTTTTGAATAATTCAACGGCCCGTCGTCAATTATTTCGCACATATATACTGTCTATATGATCCAAGAGCATTGGAGGTCAAGGCCATGTCCTAGTACAAAGCATTTGCTCTGCCAACATGAATAGCAAATAGAGAAATTCGCTTTACTCAGCAAAGCAGTTTCATCATTCGTGTAATCCAAAGCCTGACACAGCTAAAGAGTTTCAGTGTGCTGGAGTGTGTTTGCTTGTGTACCAGATATACAGAAATGCACTGAAGCTTTAGACAAGATATTGTCCTGTTATTGTAGGGCATTTTACATGCGGATAAAATCATAACCCAGCCTGGAAAAAACAGGGAACATCAACTTCAAGTCAACATGAACCCACTTTAGCGTCAGGGGAAGACGAGGCCCAAATAACAAACAAAATAATCTTCTTTTAGAACCTAAATGACGTCAAACGAAAGATAAAAAAAACCACAAATACAGTTTAACTTACTCCCTTAAAGGAGTTGTTCACTTTTACAAAAAAAAAATGTTGATTAGTTTACTCACCCCCAAGTCATCCAAGATGCCTTTGTCATTATTTCTTCTGTCGAAATGAAATCTTTTTCCGAGTCATTTGGTTTATTCAACGAACGAATTTAACGAATTGACTCGGAAAAAGATTTGTTCATTTTGATGAATGAGTTTGAACAGGAGAGTCATAAATGCACATCACAGAACAGAGCAAGGCGAGCATTAGTGCTTATAAAACTTAAACTTTTTTTTTTTTTTTTTTAAATGAGCGATTGTTTCGCTTGATAAGATCCTTATTCATTGTCTGGTGTCGTTTAAAGCCCTTTGAACAGTTTGCAGTTTGTACTGAAAGTGTATAGGACCTTGAACCGTTTGGTTCCCACTGAAGTCCATTATATATGGAAAAAAAATCCTAGAATGTTTTCATCAAAAACCTTAATTTCTTTTCGACTGAAGAAAGAAAGACATGGACAAGTTTTTTTTTTTTTTTTTTTTTTTTTCAAAAGTGAACTCCTTTAACCATAAAGTTACAAATAAAAAAGGTACAAATAAATTGACGTCAAAACCCCTACATCCTTTCATGTGGCAAAATGTATTTACAAGAATATTTACACAGTTATTTACAAAGTCTCTTGATAAATCAGAATCTAAGGCGTAGTCAGTCAGATAAAAGAAAGCACAATGGCATAAGCACAAAGTCAATGGGCTATATGCACGCATAAATTCCGCATTTGACGCAAGGATGCTCGTCCATTTCCGGTTGTGGAGATTAAAGCAGAGGAAAACGGGATTATGGCAGAGTCTTCAAAATTTACTGTCCTCCAGTCTTTGAAATGAAACGTACATACGTTTAGATGTAATTTTATATATAGTTATATTTATTTAATATAATTTTAAAAAGAAGCATAAACACAACGAGGGGTGTCTGTTTTATCTGTTTTTGTGACTAACGTTTCATTAGTATAAGCATGGAGTATAAAATTCAATATAAATTCTCGGTATTGCATTGGACCCTACGATCGGCGGAAGTTATCGAGCATCCCTAATGCTTCACCGGAAATACCGCCGTGCATAGAGCTCATGAGGCCTCCATTGAGAGTTAGGGGTGGTCCTTATGTCTGGGTCAGGTGCTTAGCAGGACCAATCAGAGTCTTCCACAGGTTAACAGAGGTAATGCCCATCTGAAACACAAACCTGTCTACCTGTCGACAGTTGATATAAACACAAAATATCTCAGGGTCTTAACAGTTCCTGTACAACAATCCTATAACACGCCATATAAATAAAGCTAGAGGGAACCTGAGATCAAGGTTACAGATACCCGTAATCATAAACCGAACCCTGTGATTTCTATTTATCTAGGCTCCCTGTGCCGAACTCAACAGAAGGTCTGTTGAACTCGTCTCACCAAGCTCTCATGAGGGATCAACCATGTTGGCAGAGACAAATCTAAAAGCTGTGACAACCACCTGCATCATACGATATATAATATCATCACAAACACGTAAGCCGCGCAGAGACGCCTCTGGATGAAGAGGAATCCTCGGAGGAAGACTCATAAGAAGCTGGCGAGGTGAGTCAAAGGGCTTGAGGGCAGGTGTTCGTAATTACCCACCAACAAACTGATTATGGTGTGAGTTCCAGGTTAGAGGACTCTCAAGACAGTCAATTACTGAAACAAATCAATGGAAAGCCAGCATATACAACAGACCTGGGGCTGTTGGTCTGAAAGGCTGCACATGCATTTCTCAATGTCACAGGTCTGTTTTTACATCTTTAAGGAATCGTTTTTGGACTAGTAAATCATAAGGGGTTAATCTACTTCCTTACAGTCTTTCATTGGTAAATACTGGCAAGTACGAGAATATCCTATTCCTAAGTTTGAAGTCGGGGAAAGTTTTTACTTTTTTAATTGCATTGAAAAAAAAAAAATCCCCCCAACAAATCTTCTGTAATGCCCCATGTTTTCTTTTTGGCCATCAGAACTGTTGAGCATTGTTTAATGATACTGTGTCTAAAAATAGTCTTTAAATATCATCTCGCTTACACCTGCACTAGAAATCCTCTGCGCTCGTCTTAATGAATCTTTAGAGACTTTCCGGCAGCAACCAAACATGCATTAGTTGGAACCACTTGCAGTCATAGTGGTTTTCTTACATTGAGAGTGTTTAAATGGTGCTCTGTTATCATATCAGGTGAAGATATTAAAATATTTAGCAAAAAAATATCTCTAAACCTAGATTTTTGTTGATTTATTTTACTCGGTCTGTTTAGGTGTTGACATCAATTGTCAACATATTTTTGTCCATGCATTCATTGTTTTCTTACCTTTTTTTTTTTTTTTTTTTTAGGCTTGGCTTATTATGCATTTGTATGTTGAATTTATCTACTTTTTTCATAATCTAGTGTTTAGTAAACCTTCCATTGCATATTTTGAATATCATTGGCTCTTTGACAAATTGCTTTTGTTCCTCCTATGGAAAGATATAAGCTTGGAAGCCGGTTTCTGTCACGGAATAAAAACATTTAAAAGATAATTGAAATGTTTAATCTCACAATTATTACTTTTTTGTCAGAATTGGGAGATATACTACAGTATAACTTCTGAGAAAGATGTCAGAATTGGGAGATATAAACTAATAGATATAAGCAATTGTGAGTTTCACTTGAAACTTCTTCCAACTACTTTTCTCAGAACTGTGAGAGATAATTTTGCAATTGAGAATTATTAAGTCCAATTCTGAGGGAAAAAAAGTCCGCTTGCAATTCTGACCTTATATCTCTCAATTGTGGGTTTTATATCATGCAAAAAAAAGTCAGAATTGTGATAGTCATAATTACTTTTTTTTTAATAAGTGTTGGAAACAAGCTTCCATATAAAAGCATCTGCTAAATGCATAAATGTAAATATTTCCTATAGTAACGGTTACTTTAGTGCAAGTTACATTGGATGCAAGATGCAAAGTAAAGATAAGTTGTCTTTATCTGTCAATTAGTGTCGTTTACGAAGATAATCATACTCAAATACCGCGTCTACACAGGATGTGAGCTGCACGATAGAGGTCTGCACCCCCGCGGGACTCCCGCGGGACCCGCGGGTCGCGACGCAAAACAGTGCGGCGCGGGAGAAATTTTGAAAGGTCAATGCGGGAGCGGGCGGGATGATGAGGTGCACTTGCGGGTGCGGTCGTGAGGGATGATGCGCTGCACTCCCGCAAATTAAATATGAGTGTAAAATAAAATATATAAATGATTAAAGTAGCGTACATAATTTGTAGTTGTGAGGGAGATTCTGATTGGCAGCAATAAAAACGTTTTAAGCAGCCTAAACTTGTGAATATTGTCGGGTAGGGCGGGGCATAATCTCACGCACAGTCGCACACTTGTTTAGAGACAATTCCTTCCCGCTGCTCCGTGTTCGAATTCGAAAGCTAGTTCAAGTTCAAAATAGACAGCATGGACGAGGAACAGAGCGCCTCTAGTGCTTCAGATAGAGGCCTAAGCGCTTCAGATGTAAGTTACGTTACTTCTCTAAAGTACTTGTGGTAGGCACACGGGCTATTTCATTTTAACACCTGCACTGAGCGGCTCAAAGCCCACATAGTTTTTTAGTCACAATGTTTTAGTTCATGGCTAGCCTATAATGTGACAGGAACATTATCTGCTTCTTTTACCTTTATTTTGATCATTTTCATTTAGACATGCTGGTAGCGACCTGCTGAGTTTTTTTTTTCTTCTTCTTATTATTATTATTCATATTATTCTATTCATATTCATATTATTATTATTATATTATTATTATTAAAATTAAAAGGTAGGCACACAGGCTATTTTCAGTTTAACACCTGCACTGAGCGGCTCAAAGCCCAAATAGTTTTTTAGTCGCAATGTTATAGCCTATAATGTGACAGGAGCATTATCGAATTATATTAGATAGATAATAATATTACCTAATCGAATATATATATATATATATTTTGTTACATGTTAAGCCTAATGGAATTTCGGCCGATTAATGTTATCTTTGGTGGCGTTCGTTACTGATGCCTGTTTAATGTTTTGTATGGTTGATTATGCAGGCTTACCAATAAATATGTTACCAAGTATTGGTAAGGAATTTTGTGAGCAGTGCCTTTTTTTCCCCAGGGCCAAGACCTTTCGTCAGAAAGTGCGGGCGGGAGCGGGACATTATATCACAGATGCGGGCGGGAGCGGGACTAAAAATGACTAATCTTTGCGGGAGCGGGAGGGAGCGGGACTGAACACTGCGGGAGCGGGCGGGAGCGGGTCTGAAAATTGTGTCCCGCGCAGGTCTCTACTGCACGACGCGCCAAAACCCATTATAATCAGTCATGCCGTCAACACTGGATGAAATAAAAAAAAAATTCAGACAATAAACTGATGCCACAATCTATTTCTGTTGTACTTAAAGTGTTCACACTATGTCTGACACGATTTGATTTGACTTGCAATGGTCGCTTTGTCGCGTCTTCCAGCTGTTTGCGGCGCATTATAGAAAATGTAGTTACTTGATATTGTATTGTTATGCTTTATGAGATTATGTTTTTTCTTTTGTAAATTCAAATAAAATAGATTTAAAACGGGTTTCTGGATGTGAAAGTTTGGCAGATCAGACACCCTTGATGTATCACAGCGGTTGTTTAATAGCATTTAGTTGAATAGCAATGCCCTCGTCAGAAAGAACCGTTCTTAACTTCTTGCATAACACCATCCAGCATCTCTGAGAACATGTTTCAAATGTCAGCCTGTTTTTCTCCTTCGTCCTGTGATTGTGTCATGCTTTTCAGGGCTGACAGCTTTTAACATTTTGCTCATGTGGGCTGAATTGACCTGACCTGCTGCTGTAGTCTATGATTCAAAACCGACCAGGTTTGAGAGAAAAATGAGAAAATCATCTGAATTCCTCCGTTCTGGTGTTTGCTTCTCTAGATTGATGCTTGAACAGATTGTCTGAGTGTCTCATTTGACCTGATGACATCATAATGGGCGCCCGTCTTGATTGGTGGAAGAGGGTAACAAACCGTCCAATTGGCCTTTTTCCCTTTTTCATCGCCGCTCCTCATTAAACAAGCAGAATTCATGACGGATACCAGCCATTAACTGCCCCGAACAGCAGTGGGGGAGATGGAAGATTACGACATTATGCAATATCATTGTCCAATTTGATTAGTCGGCACTGCTGTTACCTCCGCAAAGTGAATTAGTTCATTCGGGAGATATGTCAGTGTGTAATATAAAATGGAAATTAAAAATGGCTGTGCTGTCTGTCAAGTTCGGTCTTTCAGGTTCCACCGAATCACGTCGTTGGCTGGCGGAGAGGCCATATGATGGTTTGCTCTGGCCGGTTGGTATTTCCACAGACAGCTGCCGTTCCCTCTATTGAGTTACCGGACAGACTGCCAGGCGCTGCGGTCCGGGCCCATGAATACCGTAAGAGCCAGTGAAATGATGTCAGCGGCGCAGTTTTTGGCCACTACGGGTCCAAACTTTTTTATAGGCCGTCATATTTAATTAAACCTAATAGGCCTCCGATGTAAAAAGTAAATAAATGTTTAATTCAAAAATCAAATTAAAATAAAAACCTGCGGCCTGTAAACCCGCCTCTGTGATTGCTGGTAAATGTTTCATTTCTTTATTAAAATCTTATGAGTCAAGATGGTCTGAATAATGAAGCATGAATTTGATTTCAAATAAGATCATCAAAATTAAAACTCTTTTTCATGGGATTTCAATAATTCAGGTTGTTAAAATTTTGGAAAAGTTTTTTTATCTTGTTGTCCATAACTAACTGGGAAACAAGATGTCGAAAATGTAGCATATATCAAGAATTTATAATATCAATATTTATATTAAATGGAAATAAAACATAACAAAACTATATATAACATTTATTTAATATTTATAAGTATAATATAAAATAACTAAATGTTTATAAAAACTAAATACATTAAATATATATTTAAAAATATTATAGGTAGTTTTTTATTGCTTATTTGCTGGTTTGTTTATTAAAACATAAACTACTATGTATTTAAGCGTTTAGTTCCACTTGAACTTTACAGGGGTCATTTCTTGTTATGATTTTTTAAAGGGATACTCCATCCAAAAATGAAAATTCTGTCATCATTTACTCACCCCCAGTTTGTTGCAAAACTGTATGAATTTCTTTTTTTTTCTGCTGAACAAAAAAGATATTTTGAAGAACGATTGGAACCAAACAGTTTTTTGGCACCATTGACTCCCATAGGAGAAAAAAAATAAATACTATATAAATGAATAAGTTCCAATTGTTCATCAAAATATCTTCCTTTGTGTTCAGCTTTTCATTTTTGGGTGGCGTATCCCTTTAAAGCGATGCGTTTTAAACCACAGAGCCGTTTGATCGCCTTAATGAATTTATTGACTTTTTCCTAAACCGTGAAAGCTAATTTCAATTACAGTTCTGAGAAAAGCCAGAGACACAATGCCAGCTTGATATCACATCTCTTTAACTGCTGTCAGAAGCTGCCCTCCATCTCTCCTCAAAGATCTTCTGTTCATCAATCTGATTCT